ACACAAAAAAAATTATAATCATACTACACACTGGCTTATGTACATGTGCACAATTGTATGTATACAGCTATCCAGCCACACACACATACATACAAACAAACTTACATAAGGTTGGAATTTTATTTGCCAGTTTAAATATATATCTTTTAACAAAGTCTTTCATCTACATAATAAACTTTACTTCTTAATTTTAATCAACATTTTTCAGACAAATATTCTTGTCAATATATGTACCCTTAATATTCTTTATTTGACTCCTCAAATATTCTAACACATTAAAAAACAAAAAACAAAAAAAACCTGAGGGTAATTCCTTCTATAAATATACTCCTTACAGCATCTTAGTCCTAATGGATGCTTACAGCTAAAGGATATCTTTCTATTTTGGCAACCATAAATAATATACATTTATCTGCTAACATTGAAAACTCAACAACACTCAACATGTAACCTACAAAAACATTCAAAATCCACCAAATGACATTTACTGGCAAGAGCCCTATGGAGAGAATCCTAAAGAAAAGAAAAGAAAAGAAAAAAAATCCATAACACACTATAAATATATTACATATATATATATATATATGCTAATAAAGAACATTGTCCTATGGATTCCCTTTATATCAAAAACAAAAAAGTACATACATATACCAAAGTAAATTGCATACCCATAAATACTTAAATAATCCTCTAGTAGTCCCCTCAGTAATACCATTTGTGGTGGAAAAAAAAGAAGTGTGTTCCAGTTTTGATATTTGAAAAAAGAAAACAACAACAACAACAACAACATGACAGTTGCTTCACAATCACAAACACAGTGCAAGGTAGGAAAGAAAGGTCATTCTATATATGGTACAACAAAGGTCTCAATACTAGTAAACTTTATGTCCTTATAACTTCAGTACTTGGAACGATTATTAACCCTCTGTCTCTATGCAATGGTATGCACATTCTAGAGTGTTGCACTGTTGATCCACAATTTGCTAAAAATCAATAACTAAAAGCAATATTTCAAAACCAAAATGAAATAACAGCAGCTTCAGAAAAGTAAGACAGAGTCCTTTAAGAAAAAACTAGCAACTCAAATATTATTAAATTAAATCAATGATTTTTATGCTGTACTTAGAACTCACAGATTTCCTTCATGATTTTGAGTTGTAAAAAGAATATAAGGAACTCACTGTTGCCGCATCTATTCAATAATTCTTTTAACCCAAACTCAAACAGATTTCCTTATAAAATATCACGACATTGTTGGCTGAAGATATACATACCTATTTATTTTACAAGCAGTAACAGAGTATGAAAACAAAAATCAATTCTCAAAGTTGTTTGATTAAATGTAACTCTTCTTTAAAATGACACATCTATGGGAGAAAAAGCAGGCAGAGGCTAAACAAAACCTTGTATAAGCAAAAACTTGTTTCCATTCTTCAGAGATCTTCAAGTCAAGAGTCAAAAGAATTAATATGATATCAGTAACATATTTGCTTGACATGGTGTTTGATCTAACGGCTACACAATGTTACCAAAGTGTTGTATGTTTTTTTTTCTTGTGAGCTAAATATTCCATAACAATGCACCAAATGAAGACAATATATTGTTAAAATCTGATAACATGTTACACCTAAATATGTCTGAACATATTACTCAGACTCAGCACATCAGTACAGTCTGCAGAAGCAGTTCATAAAGAACCACACATTTTGATAATATTCTAAAACCCCTAAGACACTACTGACCTAAGATGTATAATCATCATTTGGGGGATGTTACCGTCTCCTTTCTTGGAAGACTTCAAAATAGTTTTATTTTCTGTTCTTGCAACAACAATCATGAAATGGAAATCATTCATGGCTAAAGACTGCAAAACAATGGATGGTCTAAATAATGCTAGAACTGAATGTCACTCTTACCTTACAACAACACAGAAGGACCTGACATTAATTGTCTGAGTTATGTATTTGCCAATTTTTTTGTTCAGTGGATCATGAATGCATTTGCTTGATATATAAGTGTGTGTATGTGTGTTTGAAAGGACACACACACACATACACATATATATAATATATATATATATATATATATATATATATATATATATATATATATATATATATATATATATATATTATGAATGTATGTGTGTATATATATAAGTATGTATGTATACATATATATATATATATATATATATATATATATATATATATATATATATATATATATATATATATATGTATACATACATACTTATATATATACACACATACATACATAATATATTATATATAAATATATATATATATATATATATATATATATATATATATATATATATATATATATATATATATATATATATATATACACATATACATAAATAAGACATATACATATATATACATACATAATATATATATACATATATATACATACATAATATATATATACATATATATACATACATAATATATATATACATACATAATATATATATACATATATATACATACATAATATACATATACATATATATACATACATAATATATATATACATATATACATAGGTAATATATATACACATGCATATATATACATATATATAAATACATATATATATCTACATACGTATATATATACACATACATACGTATATATATACACATACATCCGTATATATATACACATACATACGTATATATATACACATAAATATATATATATACACATAAATATATATATACATACATACATACATACATACATACATACATACATATATATATATATATATATATATATATATACAGTATATACATATACATACATATATATATATATATTTATATATACATACCTATATATAAATAAATATTCATACATACATACATTCATTTATGTCTATATATATGTGTATATATACACACACAGATTTTCAAAATTGAGACTATTCAGATACCTGTGAGAAAATTATCAACCGACATTCATCAAAAAGAAACAACACACTGAACTGTCTTTTCAACAATATGAAAATGGAAAACAAATCACAAAATGAAGTCTCAGAAACTATGTCAGGCTCAAGTTGCAATATAATTACATAAAAACGTATAAATTAACTGAACTCACTTGTTCTCCCTCAAGATCAACGACACGTCCCAAATCCAACACGTGAAAAACACTCAAAACATATCCATACATATCACATTTAAGCCTACTTGAAATCCCTGTATTTGAATTTCAGAGATGGCATTCTCCAGTGTTTAAGACACAATACCGACCCAAATATCATCAAACGGAAAGAAAAGGAAAGAAAAGGCAATGTTCCCTTAAACTTTTCTTCTCTGAAATAACTGCACACTTACTTGGACAAACTGACCACTTGAAATTTATTTTTACCCTTCTTCAAAGACTAGCCATTTTTAATTACCAAGCTGAAGACATTATTTCAATTTTAACATCAGATTACTGAAACATTTATCTGTTATTGGATCCTGTCTGATCATTTCATGTCAAAAGGAGTAAGAAAGGAATTTCTCACTTTTTCTGAAATTCATCAAGATCAAAAGGAAAACAAATAATCCTTTTTACTTGCAGTTTTGTACATACACATTAAATGTCTTCATTTGCTGTCTTCAAGCCTTATCTCCTTTTATATACTTGCAAAAAATAGAAACAGGAAAATAGACAAAGCCCAACCAACTTATTTCACAGTATGTCAGGCCCAGTGAACCAATTCCTAACCACACAGGTTTTGTTAACAACATATTCATCACACAGTGGTCTTCTTCTCTCTGTATTAACAAATAATCTTCATCTAATCAAAGCATTTACCTGGCATACTGGAATGTGACACTCAATAAATGTAGACATAGTTTGTACACTATAAAGCAAACTCTCTCGAGATCTTCGCACCACAATGAGAGGTCTAGACATATTCACACATGGTTGAGTTCATTTCCACGCTCACTGGATAACCTAGCATTCGTCCTCCCTTTAAACAATCGATAGCTATTACTTTATGGTTCATAACTTGTCTGTGTATACTACGGTGAAATGTCTGCCCTGGTTTGAAAATCATACTTTTCAAAAAATGACCATACACAACTAGTAATAGCCTGCCAATAGGTGGATGAGTGTAGTATGGTCACTGTCTGATAATCTTATTTAACTATGGACAAGGCAGTCTGCTGGTCTGTCTATCAGAGCTGTCTAATGAGACATGATTTACCACCTCTGCCACTAAGCATGCCTTATCATGTGGATGTGACTTGATGGTATTGCATGATTTAGTACAAACACCCTAAAGTTATTTCACCTTCTTCAAAACTGCACAGTGGCACGTCAAATTTTGGCTGGTTGGGAACTAAGTGGAGTAGAGGTGAACTGGGTTCAATATGATTAAAACTGAAAAGGTGCAGATGAAGATGAACAACTTTATAAATGAAAATGAACCACTTTATAAAGAAAGAAATGTAATTGCATCTTCTCCCAAGTGAAGTTACTCATTTTCATTTATACCTTGAGAGCGAAGTGTTGCCTGACTGATATAGAAAAAAAAAAATTATCAATAAAAAATTAAATTGCACGTATTACAGGATACCAGCTACGATTGCATATCATATGTCAATTTGGATAACAGTATGTGGACCTTTTCTAACACCATTTAAAGGCCAGAAATGAACCCCTCTACTATGGTGCAGAGTATTATCCTTGATATCAACACAATACTGAAGTGACTCAAATGAGGTAACAGAAATAGAGAGATGCAAATATTCTCTTAAATATTTAAAGCTATTGAGAAAAAAAGACTGTCATGTAGAATTCTGCTGGGTAATAATGCACCTTTATCAAAAAGAAGCAAATGAGTTATTGATATAATCAAAGACAGGAAAAGAGACAGACAGACAAAGAAAGAAAGAAAGAAAGGAAAACAAATGATAATGTAAAAATGAAAAAAATCAGATAAATCTTTTTATTTTGTACAACTACATTGAC